GAAGGGAGCTGACTCTGGTTTTGTGGACAGCCCTGGCATAAAGCCAGAGCCCTCAGTGTCCTGATGCCTCTCGACCATCTGGAGCAGGTTCACCTGGGACCGTGCCCCACACACACCCAGCTGCCCATGGGCTCAGGAACTCCATTTAATCCCAGACCTGGGTGTCTGCTCCTGGTGTAGGCCCTGCTGCAAGTGTGCTTGTCTCCAGTCTTGCCTTTCTCCTGGGCAGGGCTGGAATGTATGTTTGGTGTAGCTTGTCTTTGCCCCATCTTTTGAGGGGTCTCTTGGGATGGGCCTTGGACTGGTCCAGCCCCTCGTTGTGTCAGGGGCTGCTGGTGGAGTCCATTGCCAGCACTGGGTGGGCTCTGTGGTGCTGAGGGGCTGTGCCATGGTTGGTGAGGGCATTGCTTGTGCTGGGATCATCCTTGGCTCTCAGCTCATCCCACCTTGGACAGTGGTGGAGCTTCCTGCTGTGTGGTACAGATGCAACCTCATGGGAATGACCCTGCTGTGTGGGACCTTCTGGTTGTCACACTAAGGGCTTTCCACTGCTTTGAAATTTATGGATGAAAAACATAATCCAGATGGGACATGCTCTGAATGCACCTAAATTTAAAGCTTGGGTGTGAAGCAAATTCCAAGTTGGACATCCAACCAAAAAATCACTGAATGATTTGGGTTGGAAGGGACCTTAAAAATCATCCCATTCCATTCCATTCCCTGCCATGTGCAGAGACACCTTCCACTATCCCAGGCTGCTCCAAATCCTTCCAACCTGGCCTTGGACACCTCCAGGGATGGGGCAGCCACAGCTTCTCTGGCCAACCTGTGCCAGGGCATCAGCACCCTCACAGGGAAGAATTCCTTCCCAATATCCAATCCAAATATCTCTTATTTAGTTTAAAACATGGAGAGACCTGACTTCTCCCATGGCATCACTCATGCTTTTGTGATCCAGCTGTTTTTTGTGAAAGCATCATGCAGAATGTGGTACTTCTGGTGACATCCCATGGGGAATAGAGGCCATTTGAGTTCTGTGGTGTTGTCTGAAGGAGCTTGATGAAGGAAATGATCTGCTGTTTTTTAAGAGCTTCCAAGGATTTGGTGAGTGCGCACTCAGGCAAATAATAATAAAAATAATGATAAAAAATAATAAAATAATAATAAAAATAAACAATAAATTATTATTATTATTATTATTATTATTATTATTATTAATAATAATAATAATAATAATAATAATAATACAGGAGATATTTCTGCCATTGAGGAAATTATGTCCTGAAATGATTCTGTAGTTTGTCAGGGTGCTGGAAATGTGCATTTACCTGCTTGGCTTTTTGGGACAGGGGAAGGCACAGTTTCCCTGAAAGATGGCAGTGCACACACTACATTTAAGAAAAACGCTTCCATACTTCTCCCTGCTACAACTGGAGTTTTGGTGACTTTATTTGAGTCAGTTCTCTGGGCTTTTTTTACCTTTTATAATTTGCTCAAGCCCTTGGACTACACAGGAAAACTCCTTAAGTTGCACAGGTCTCATGACTGACAATAAAATGCTTTCAGTGTATGGGGTCTGCCATGCTCCAGCAATCACAGGTGACGTTTTTCACCTTCTCCAGGTGTCCTGACAGTCCTCTCAAGCTCAGCCTCTGCATCATCTTGGTGTGACGTGCATCAGCTCTTTGATGCCCTTGTCTGGGTGTGGGGGTGGCTGTGAGCTCTGTGCTGGGAGCACGAGGGGCAGTGGGATGTGAAGTTTCTCCCAAGCCCTCTGTGAGGCAGAACCATGCAGGATCGAGAGCTCAGGGCACAGGAGGGGGCCTTCATCAGCCTGAGGAGGCTGGATTAGCTCCTGGAGATGCCTAGGGGGTCATCACTCTCCTGCTGCTGCTTCATAAATGTGCTCCTGGCGCTAAATCCAGGGAAGTGTCATGATTGCAGGAGTGCAGCTCTGCTTGATCAGTTCCTAAGCCTGGTTGCTGAATTCCTGAGTTTTCCTAAACCTGTAAGGGCTGGAATTGCTCATGGTACTCCCGAGTTTAAGACCTGCCCAACACCTGAGCAGCTGTGCATTAAAATCAGCTTCTGTCCCTGGAAGAAAGGAATATCAGGGCTATCTTTGGGACCTAGTCCTCAGTATCACCCTCCTGTAATGTTGCCACCAGGGAAAGAGGTTGAGTCAATTGCTGGACACAGATCCTACAGCTCTGCATGAGATCACCAGACACAGACCCATAGGGATTGGAAACCCCCCTAAGATCTTTGAGTCCAACCACTGGCTCTGGGAAAGAAAACTGAGCTTGCTTCAGGTTCCAGGATGCTTCAGTCCAGAGTCTTGTCAACATACTCTAGGAATCAGCCTCCATAACCCAGTCATTTGGGTGCTGAAGGATAGAAATGGGAGCTGAAATTCACAGGCTGAATTTGGGAGAAAAGGAGATGTTTTCTTCATGAAGAAGGCTGGTATTTGAAGGGAGAGGAGCACCTTGGAAAATAAATCCACAGGACAAGCTGGAGAACAAGAGATAAGGAAGTGCAGGGTCTGATGCCATGCTCTTGGCACACAGGAATGGCTGCACATTCCCTCTCCAGCTCCTCAACTCGTAGGTCCCATGCCATGAGCAGAGGTCTCCAAGGTCATTGATTCCTGTTCCTCCTGTTCAACTGCAGATGGATCCCGGAGGCCACTGTGGCCTCTCTCATGTCCCCAGACTTGTTTCCAATGCCTGCAGCTAATCTATGATGCCCTGAGGTCTCTATGCACTGGTGGGGACTGCCTGAGATTCTGGCTTTGCTCCCAGAGCTGATCCCGACTTGGAGGGGACCAGGGAGTGATTTTATGAGTACAAATAAAATAGGCTGGTGCAATCAGTTCTGAGAAAGACCAGTTGTGACCCAGAGGTAGTGGAGGCTCATGTGGCAGCTCTACCAAGGTCATGAGACTCACCCCATTCCAGCACCTCCCAGTCAATAACACCATAACAGAACCAGTCCTTGTAAGAAAAACCTGACATTTGAGGCAGCTTCTTTTCTGTCAGAGCAGAGGTGTTTTTTGTTCCACAGGGGGAGAAATTTATATGCAAAATGATGGATACAATTGACTCCCTGCCTTTAGGCATGTAAGGGAAGAGCTAAAAGAGGTTGAGAATGCAGAGGGAGGAAGGTGTGGAGAGCTGAGGCCAAAGCGAGACAGCACTGCAGGAGCAGGTTTACAACATCTTTGTATCCCAAAATAGGGGAATTTGGGATCACTGCTGATGCAAGGAGACTCTAAAAAGGGAGCAGACTGACAGTGGAGAGCAGGATGTGTTCCTTGGTGTGTATTTAACCTGCTGGTTCTAATAACCCTAGATGGCCATTCCAGCTCTGTGCTGGGTCTTCTGGATAAATTTCTGGGCTACTGTGTGAGCTACTGTTCTGCTAAGCCAGGCATGAGGTCATGGCCTCTACTCGATCCCAGCAGTATTCTGAGTGCCCCTCAAATCCCTTCTGTTTTGGACCAGAAAGGGGAAAATGCAATGCATTCCCTGGAAAAGCCTTGCTCTGCCAGCCCTGTCCCTGACCCCACTCTTTGTATGCAGAACTTGCTGCTGGGAGCCCTTAATGTTTGTGCTGCTTCATCTTCCCAGGGTTTGGATCTGGCACGAGGGGCGTGAGCCATTTCCTGAGAGCCTCAAGCATTTGGGCAGCATTTCCATCCTCTGGCTGCCAAGGTTTTCCTCCTGCCTGGGGAAGCAGCAGGAGCACTCTAGAAATGACGGAGACGAGAACGCTGCAGCTTGGAAGCAGCAGCACTGGGGGAAGAAACTGTCCTTCCCTTCATCCACAGAGTCAATCCTTGATCACCTCCTGTTTTTCATATGCTGGTGAAGGCAGGGAGCAGGGAGGGAAATCTCATTAAAGACCTTGCTGTTGGGAATGGCTGGATAGCTCATTAGAGTGGGCAAAATGACTCGTTTCCTCTCTGCAGGTTTTTTTCCCAGGAACTCCATGGAGGGAAGGAGTTCATTTAAAAACAAATATTCACAGCAGCGTGCCTGCAGGACACGCTGCTCCAGCACGGGATTCAATCCCAGCACCCAGGGAAGAGCTCAGCGCTCGCTTCCGAAAGGAAAACCTCATTAGGCGCGTTTGGCTTTTTCTTGGGTGCTGCTTGATTTTCCACGGCTCGGATTGCAGGGATGGGTCTCCCGTGCTGGAAATCGAGGAAAGCAAGAGGAGGGAGAGTTGGAGTGGGGGGTGACCCCATCCCACGCCCATCACACACTCGCACACGCGGCCGCTGCTGTAGCGCTGTGCTCCTGCCAAGAGAAACTTGGGAAGGGGGGAGAGCCAGGCACAGACAGCAAGCACACTTATCAAGTGGCTTGGACCGTAGCCGATTTGAAATATTACTAACCTTGCATTTTCAAATTTGATGCACAACAACCAAGATGCTAATACTTTCCTTAGTTTAGAAAAAAAAATCCTTTCACCCATCTCTTCTAGCCGAAGATTAGGAGAGAAGCTTTAAGAAGATTTAAAAAAAAAAAAAATCAACTTCTGAGCAGCGGAAAAAATGGTTTGTGATTCAGGGGCTCCGGGCAATTCATCATGGAAATTGGGTTTCTTAGCCGACATCATGTGAATCCTTTCGGCCCTGTCAACTTTTTAATACATTACATTGAGAATGTAAATCGTGTTGGTGAGGGGGAAAGAAGAGGGGAAAAAAAAAAAAAAAAAAGAGAGAAAAAAGAGAGCTGCTTCATTTTGGGTTTAGAGGGGAGGCAGCTTGAGGCCTGTAATTCATATTAACTAAATAATAATACTAAAAAAAAAAAACCCTCTCTAAATCTACAGATATGGATATACACCTAGGGAGGGAGGGGGGAGGGAAGTGGACGAGACAGCCCAAAATTGAAACCATTTTATCCTTTTGAAGGGTGAGTATTTGAGAGGGGTTTGTTATGGATTTATTTTTATTTTCTTTATTTTTTTTTTATTTGGGTTTATTTTATCCCTTTCTCAGCTTGAGCTCATTCTTCCATCAAAGAGAAGAGAAGAGAAAAATGAATGTTTTGGAGGTGGAGGAAGATGGAGGAAACAGAAAAGGGAAAAGCTGCAGTAATATCTGGGATCTTTTAGGAGTTTGGTGGATTTTTTTTGCTCACATACAGGTGATTTGGATTAACTCTTTCATGGGCGGTGGAAGCTAATTTTTTGACTTTTTAGCGGGCGTGAAATTAAAGCTCTGGTTGGGGAGTAGCAGGTAGTGCTGTGAGATCCCTGAGACTGGGCTTCATGCAATTGCAAACACGAACCTCTCGGTGCATTTACTCCCTGAAAACGTCCATTGGGAGGTTCACTGTGAGCTAAATGGAGCACAAAGGCTCCACATAAACCCCTGCATAGGGCTTAGCTGCTGCATGGGCTCCCAGCTGGCTGGGAGGTGGGGAAGCTTCACCAGGCATGTTCTTGTTACAGCTGGTGGCTTCTCCTGTGCCTTGAAATGCTCCTGGCATTAGAAAAGGGGAATTGACCATGGAGGAGAGGCAGGGAAGACACAGGCTCTCTGGCCTTGCAGGGAAAATACCTTTATTTTTTCTCATTGGATGGTGCTACATGGAGATTGAGACTTATTTAATACCAGTCATACAATAATTCAGGGTGCAAGGGACTTGTGTGGGGCTGTATGTGGGTGTCAGCTCAGAGCTGGGCTGGATTTTACCTCCCAAACCTCTCTGCTCAGGGGCAGCTTGGGAGGAAGACAGGAAAAGAGGTGGAAGGCTGTGCCAGGAGGGATGAATGAATGGTGCCTTCCTTGCTTGGCATCTCTGAAAGTCCTGAAAGAATGATGTAAAATTGAAGGCGTTCCCTTTACTAGTGACTTATTAACTGCAGTTTAACTATTTAAACAGCATTGTAAAAACAAATATAAATGCTGAATGCTTCATTCATAGGGTTAATAATCCCCAGTTTTATTCCTCTTTTGACTGCTGGGTTTGGGTGCTGCTCCTCACTCCAGACTGACAGCAGACACCGATCCTGCCATTCTCCTGGAGACATTTGCAGGTGAATTTGTGGGCACACACCTATGGACTATGCAGTTATACAAATCAAGGAGGTTGATATTAATAATGCACAAGGAAGAGGTTGGGTGTTATTTTTATGCATAGGAATATTCCTGTGTGTGACTTTGAATTCAACAGTCAAGCAGTTGATGTCATCAGTGTATTATTTAGTCTGAGGCTGGGTACAGCATTTCCAGAGGGGTTTTTGGGCATGGTGTCCTTCAGAAATAATTAATTTCCAATTTTTTCCTGCTTCCAGTTCTGCACAGCTGCAGTTGTAAAACAACCCTTCTCCTGTCTTGTTTCCATTTAGGCATTGCACCCATGGCCAGAACCTAATCCTGGATGCCTCCAACTCCTGCCAAGAGCCTGGTCTGCTCCAGCCTTAAAAGGTTCTGGAAGAGTGAAACCAACATTCCAGTAGACTCCAAAATACTGGAGTAGACTACAAAATACTGGAGTTCATTCATATGATGATGCCCAGTGACTTTTGAACCCACTTCCTTGTCAGGGTGGTGAGGCTGCCAGGAGAAGCTGTGGCTGTCCCTGGACCCCTGGAAATGTCCAAGTCCAGGCTGGATGGGGCTGGGAGCACCCTGGGACAGCTGAAGGTGTCCCTGCCCATGGCAGGGCGTGGAATGGGATGAGCTTTAAGATCCCTTCCAATCCAGGCCATACTAGGATGAAAATTCCATTGGTGGGGTCACCTCTGAGGGTCTGAAGAGAGGATTTTTCACCTTCCTTTGTGTGTCAGGAGGGACAAACCTTAGGCAATGACAGACCCTTATCAATTGATGAAGGTTGTGTGGGCAATTCCCCGCTCAAGATCAGACACATAGTCCTCTCATTCTGCACAACCTGGGTGACTCTGACCTCAACACCTGCAATCCTACAGGAATCTCCCTCAAGAAGAGCTTCCAGAGCCTTTGCACTCTCGCAGATGAATGTGCACATTCCCAAAGTCCTCCTAGGAAAGCCTTAGGCAGGTTACTCGGTTGGTTGTTTTTCCCTCTGGTGCTTGCAATCCTCAATTGCCACTTGCTGGGAGGGTGGAATGAGTTGTTGAGGCTGTCAGGGCTGTGCAGCACATAATGAAGTGCACACACGTACATCTATACATTCATACGTGGGCAGGCTTATGTTGTGATGCTGTAATACAGCTTAATTAGGACATCACTCAGGCATCTGGGACTATGCCTAAGCTAGAGATTTTTTTTATTTTGGTTTTCTCATTTAGGTTCTAGTTGGATTCCCAAGTGAAATAAACAAAAGGCTAATTGCTTTTGGATTTTAATTACCACTGCAATACCTGGGTTTATTGTATGAATTGTGTTTTATAGGTGGTGAAAGGACACCGCCAGCCAGTGACAGATCCTCAGCTGACAACAGCTCTGTTCAAACCAAAGGAATTCTTTGCAGTAGGATCCAAAGGACAGCACATTCATTTGCTAAACTCCTAATTTTTTTTTTTGTTGTGGAATGTAACTTCAGGACTTGGCTGACTTTTAAACATGATATAATTAAGCATGCCTGAAAATGAATTTATAAAAAAAAACAAAACACAAAAGTAGAGGTACTTTATAATCCACAGTGTTAAGTCTCTTCAAAATTCCTTGGATAGTTACACTGCTGCTTTAGTCAGGGTGACACAGCACAGTCCTAATACCTAATCCCAAGTGACTCTTCACACAGTGACTCAGTTACCAGAGCTGTTTGGTTCCTATCTGGTTATCTTTAATACCTTGATCCATACATCTCCTGTCTGCTTTGCCAGGAGGGTTATTCCACTGATTTTCAAGACTACAAAATGGGAAAATCCTCATTCTACATCTGTTTATTAATCCTAAAAATATTTGACATCTTTTTTCTACCCAGCTGTGTTTCCTTGTCCATGATGTCCTGACTGAACAATTGCAGAAGAAAAAATCCTTCCTTCAACTGCTTCTAAATTTTTTTGACAAGTTGGAAACTCCAGATTTCCATTTTCATTGGTGGTCAAAGGAAATAGCAGCAGTCAGATAATGTATTTCAAGTGTATTTATTCCAAATGTGTCTATTATGTCAAGTCTTACATAAATTTTTATATAACAAGCCTTGAACATCTGTAAAAACAAGGAAACTGACATCAACAACTTTGGGCTTTGTCCTTCAGAGTGAGAAGAAATAAGAAGTGAAGAGTGAATTCATAGTTGAATAAACCATCAGATCCTGAGAGCCCTTAGGCAGAAGCAGAGTGTGAATTTGATAGGAATTCTGATTTTTTTGAACTTATGGGTGGGAGGTTCGTGGCAGGACAAAGCATCTTCTGTGTTGGGATCTCTTTGGATGTGTCCCCATAGGTAAGTTAATTATAATTTTGGAAGGATTTGAGGTTCATCTGTAGGGAATTCGGTAAAAGGGCCAAACAGGTTTGAAGCATGGTGGTAGCTTTCAGTGGAAGTTTTTAACACATTAGGGAAAACATTGAGAAGTTGTTTTTTTGTTGAGGAATTACCTCAACAAGGATGGAGCTTGTTCTGAGGCAGAAGTAGAAGAAGTTTTGAGCTGTTGAAAACTTCACTAAACCTAGCATTCCAGCTTTCAGCAGACCTTAAGTGAAGGCTAAAAGAATCTAAGTTTTACTTGACAAGGCAAAGATTGTTGCTATCAATAGAGATGCAATGCATTTACAGTTTTCTTATACTGGCAATTTATGGATTGGTAGAGGCAAGTGAGACTGATCCAAATTGCATCTCAAAGACTTTTTGTATTCCTGCATGGAATTTTTAACAAAAAGGAAACATTGTTATGGGGAAAAAAGGTCTCCCCTAAAAACCGTTTGGTGTAATCATCTTGTAATTTAGAGGAAGAGAAAATATTTGAATGGGAAGGCTGGGACCTGCTGGGTTACTGCTGTGGACCTTTCTGGCTGGAGAGAAAAAAAATGAGTCTATAGAATTCATCTAGGCTGTATGAATTGGTAAAATGTATTGATTGATCCAAAATGACCCAAATCAAACAATGTACTTTTCAATGCAAGATCAAATAGCAAGAAAGATGAGGAAGCACTGATGGGCTCCAGGAGGTTGTAATTTAGATATATTTTTCTAAAAGGAGGCATTGAATTTGAAGGGATTTTTGAATTTGAAGGGATGTTTGTGTCCTTCCTTTTGCTGTCCCCCAGACACGGAGGGATTTGGAGCAAATAAGGGATATTCTCTCCACTAATGGAGCTGCGATTATCCTTGTTGGGAGGCAGGACTCAGGCGTGGTCTACACACACTATGAGGGGGCATAAGTGCATCAAAAGTGTGGGTTCAGCAAACACCTGCAAATGAGATGGAGTCAGGAGCCCAAAAGGAAGCTCTGGAGGGTAATTTGACTCTGGAATCTCAATGTCAACACCTGCACCAGCTACCAGAGGCATCTTTGCTCTAATAGACCCAGCACTTCCCACTGAACTCCTAGAACAGAGAGCTTCTAACAGGAGCACTTGATTGGGCTGAAGTATGATAAATTCCCAAGGAAAATAAGATGCTGGCAGTGAGAGCAGTTAACTGCTGGAGCAGCCTCTCCTGAATCCCTGAGGACAGTTTGCCTCTTAATTTACAACGAAAGGGCTCTCTGGAAGGTTCCCTCCTGTTCAGCCACTGCTATGGAACAGGCTCCAAGTCTCTGAAGGAAGTGGAAATCCTTCTACTGCTACCCATGGGAGCTGGAACTCCATGATCCTCCTGGCCAGCACAGCCATCTCCAGGCTTGGCTCCCTCTGCAGGGAATGCATTCAGGCACAAACCCACACTCCTCTTCACAAATGCCTTTGGTCCTGAGAGTGTGAGCACCCTGGATGCTTACTGGGATTGGGAACTTGTCTCCAGCCAGGAGAAAATACATCCAGCCATGTGAAGTCATGCTTGGAATTCCAGCACCACTTTTACACTCACTGTGCCTCAGCCTGGCTTTGAGACAAGTGTTTTAAGTTCCTCTTCTAAAATTGGAGGGGTTTTCCTTCCTTTGGGATGAATTCTGCTGAAGATAATAAAAGCTTTCTGAAATTTCACTTTCTGACTTAAATTCATTGGTCTCTTCCTGGCAGCTGGAGCAGGTTGCACCCAGGAGCTGGCAGAAGGAACCCTTGGCTGTGACAAAACAGGCACAAGGTGTGAAAGGTGCTAAGAATGAGGCATCTATATATGATAACAACTCGTTAGTACTTTATTTGCAATGATTTAATTCCCATTTTCCCCTCACTCATCTCCTCTTTTACATTTATTTTGCTTTTTCTCTTTCTGTTTCTTTCCCAGTCTTGTTTTCGCTTCTCTATTTTGTCTTGCATGTATCAGCCTTTCCTGCCACAAATCAACCCTATTAGAAGCTCCAAAGGGATTCTTTCCAATGGCCTCCCTTTGTGAACTCTGCCTTTTTTTTTCCTTTTTAATCTGCAGTGTTCCACATTACATTGCCATTGATTTAATAGACCACCATGAATTTTACTGCCTGTCAAACAACAGCACAATTATTTTGAATTCTATTGTGGCTTGACACCCAGCTCTGGATCACCTTACACTTTTCACCCTTGCTGGAGTGCACTTGAAAATCCAGGATAATATTATGTGTGATTCCAGGATGGCATTTTGTGGCATTGTTCTAATTCAGCATTTTAGGGATTGAATGATTTGGCAGTTGATGGATAAAAACTCCCACTTTTCTGAATCTGGAAATGACACATGGAATGTGGAAGTTATCACAGGGTGTTAGAAACCCAGACCAATACTGTTCTTCCCTCTCACTGCTCCCAGCCCCAAATAAACAAGATGGGCAGAAGACCCATCGTAACTCTTGGTTCATTGGGCGTGGGCTGATCCCAGAAGCTTCCCAAGCAGAATGCTGAGTCCTCTCTTGCTGGGCATGAATGGGTTGCTCTGTGTGGAAAAGAGGCTGGATCCATGTGCCTGGAGGCACATTCCACATGGAGAGGCAAAAACTCTGGAGTACTTTGAGAGCTGATGTTGGCACTCACCAGTGTGCAGCGGAGTTCTTACATGGAACCTAGTGGATTACAGCTGTATCCAAATAAAGAAAGGATTGGTTCATTCAGGATGAATCAACTCTTTGGATCCCTGTTTAAAGAACTCTTTCTATCATCTTGCACACCCAGGATAAATTGTTTTCCCAATGACAGGCACAACAGGTTGGGTCTGTGTTGTCCCAGGGGCTGCACGTGCAGAAAACTTGCAACTGTGTCACTGAATATACTAAGGAATGATATCCTGTGAATATATTAAGGAATAGAAGCAGGTTTATCGGTGAAAGTTTGGACTCAGAAGAATAAATGACTTACCAAGGGCAAGACTGAGTCTGCGTTGTGCCAGAGACCTGTTTCCAGTGTCTTAAAGATTTGTTCCAAGATGTTTTCCTATCCCAGCTGAACATGGTCCTTCCCACAAGGAAGTGTTCCCCTTGGGGCCTGAGCCAGATGGATTTGGATAGTGAGTGATCACAGAAAGCTATTTTGGTAATCCAGATTGATTATGGGCTTTTCCTTTTACAGAACTTCCCTGTTGCCAGGAGAGCTCCTGGTTGTGTTAAGGGTGTAATGTCAGGGTGTGGGGATGCTCATCCTTACCCACCCCTGAGCTTTGGGAGAGCTTTCCTCCACCTGCTCTCTGCAGTGGAGAGGGTTTATGGTCTCTTCTCAGGAAGCTGGTAGATGATGCACACATCTCGCCTGTCTCCATTGTACACAGGGCTTGAATTTGTCCTATTACAGACAAAATTTTTCCTGTTTTTGGTTCAGGGTGGGAAATTCATGGGCTGAATAAATCTCCCAGGGAACTCGTGCAAGATGTAGTGGCTGTGCAGTGCATGTGCTGGGAACCTGGTAGAGCAGACAGGTCTCTGTGCTTTATGGCCTGGGCAGAAGTAGGATAGACAGGTCTCTGTGCTTTATGGCCTGGGCAGAAGTAGGATTGAGCCCACATCCCAAAAATTTAAAGTTTAAAAGGGCCAGTGCCCTCCTTCCCCAGCCTTGTGACAAATATGCCTTGTGATCCACTGTGGAGATCCCAGCCAGCCAGAATAATTAGGTGGCAACTCAATTTATTGTCTGCAACCCTCTAAAGCTCAGGAAGTGCTCTTTCAGCCCTCAGCTGGTATTTAATCAACATATCATAACTTTTATTAGGCCTAAGTGCAATGCTCCTGAGATCATAAATTTAAAGTGTTCCTGAAAGCTAGGGTTGCTTTTGTTTGATTTACATATTGCAGCATCATGCAAAATGGGACCAGGGTGACAAGGAGCCTGCATTACAGGCTCAGGAGGCTCCAGAGAGTCTTGTCCTGCTCTGACACCTCTAATACATCACCAGGGACCAAGAAGGTGGGAGAGGGGCTGGAACCTTTATGAGGCTCTTAATTACAGATGAAGAAATTGATTAGCAGTGACAGCAGATTCACCTGAGCATCAAAGTCCTCTGGGTCCTTGCAGAGGTGTCACCTGCAGGTGCACAGGCAGGGAAAAATGCTCACACCCTTCCCAGGAGGAAAATAAATGCTGTGTCCATACCCTGAGCTCTCCTGGGCATCTCATGACACCTCCCTGGGATCATTGTCCAGGGTGGAGTCCCCCTCCCTGGAGGGACTGAAAAGCCACGTGGATGTGGCAGCTGGGGACATGGGTCAGTGAGGCTTTGGCAGTGCTGGGGGAATGGCTGGATTCTGATCCTGGAGGTCTTTTCCAACCCAAAGAATTCTATGGTTGGGATACCTCCTTTGCCCTCCCACATCCTGGTTGAGTCTCCCCAGTGCTCCTCAAGGAGGACTCCACCCCTCTGTCCCCTGCACCTGCACATGGCCAGAGATGCTCTGCTTGTACCTCTGTGCTGAGCTGCCTTTGCCAACTTCTGAGCTGGGCAATCCCAGAGGCACCCAGGTCCAAATGTCCAGGACAGGTGGTTGCAGTTTGGCTTGGCCAATTAGTGCCCAGATCACACCAGTTCTGCATTGGCCAAAAAAATCCTCTGTAACTGGTGTCACAAACTTCCTTGGGCTGAACAGCATCATGTCCAGCTGGGATGGATGGGGAGGGTGAGGGGGAGAGACTCAAACCCTGGTTTCTGACTCTACAAGATTCCCAGGAGCTTTGCCAGGAACTGTAAAACTTTGGCAAGTGTTGGAGATTGGCTTAAAACGCTAAAGACAATATTTAAACCCCATGGAAATTCTAAAACAAGGATGTTATTAAAGTGGAATTAAGGACAAAGGAGTTGCTAATATCTACAAGAAAAGGGAGAATTAAGAATGTTTGGGTTTAAAATAGTATTAGAATATTAGCTGAAACCTAGAAATAAGGTTTATCTGTAAAACATTGTCTCTGAGAAGGTTTCAATTCATGGAAGAGATAATAACTTGATTTCAGACATCTCATAACATGTTCCTTTGTGCCAGGGTCATCCTGGAGCTGGGAGGGCAGGGTGCTGTGTGTTACTCTAAATTATAAGAGCCACTCAAACAGCAAGGGACAGGATTAAATCCCAGCATAAATACCCTTTGGAAAGAATATGAATCCCTGTGCCTCAAGGGAAAAGCCAAATTCAAGTGAGAATCAGAAACTTTTGAAAGGAAAAGCTCCAGTTTAAATAAGGAATTTTTAACCATGGTAAAACTTTTTTTATTGCCTGTCTGGTTTCTAACCAGGGAAGGCATAGAGGAGCTATTTTTAAAATTTAAAATAAAAGATTTTCAAAGCATAGTATTCCCTACTAACTATGTTCTGAGTGTGAGTTAGTTATGAAGTTATGAATGTTTTTACAGTTATCAAAGACTTTCTTTTCATTTGCTTTTTTTAAAAAAAATCACTGATGTTGTGGTAAAATTAGGAAGGACAGAGAAGTATTCTAGGCCTGCCCAGGGGCTGATGGCCTCACGTACAGGTCTGGCCCTTGACCATAATTTAGTTTTTAGGGCACAGAAGCTGTGGGTCCCAGGACATTGCTATGGCCAGCAGGTCAAGAGAAGTCATATTTCTTCAACAGTGTGAGCACACATCTGGAATTCTGATGGCAGTTTGTGGTCCCCAGTACAAAAGATACTGCCAAACTGAAGCAACACCAGTGGAGACCAATAAAATGGTTTTGGGGTTGGAGCCCAGAACAAATGGAAGGTGCTGGGACAGAGGTCTGGGATGATTTAACTCTTTGGAGACACTCACAATTTGGCATTTTCCTCTTTGAGGTTCATTGAATCCTAGAATGGGCTGGAAGGGACCTTAAAACATCCATTTCCACCCCCTGCCCTTGCTAGGGACACCTTCCACTGTCCCAGGTTGCTCCAAGCTCCATCCAGCCTGGCCTTGGACATTTCCAGGGATCCAGGGGCATCCACAGCTGCTCTGGGCACCTGTGCCAGGGCCTCATCATCCTCACAGGGATGAATTTCTCCCCAGTATCAAATCTATATCTGCCTCATTCAGGTTCCTCCAGATGCTGAGAACTCCAGCCTGCCTTCAGTGCCTCACAGGGCTCTGTGCACTGTGGTCTTCAGGCTGAGGCTGCTGAGGTGGCTGGTGGAGACCCACGTGGGCCAGGGCCACCAGAATTAGCAGCTTCCAGTGCCTGGTGCTCCATGAACCAGGAGACACCTGGAAAAAAGCTGGAAAAGCGGTGAAGAGCCAGACAGGGACAGGTTCAGCTCTCAGCCAGAGCCTTCCAGTGGGAGAATGGTTGTCATGTGCAGAAAGCACAAGTTTGGATGGAGCTGCTGGAATTTGTGTACACAGAGAAAAATCTTTTGCGTCTGAAGCTGCCTGGCTCCACTGGAAAGCTGCGGAGCAGAGAGAGACTGTGTTGTTTCCCTTCTCTGAATCCATTGCAGACTTCATGAAGATTCAAGAGACCTTCTTGCTGGTTGTCCATGGAGAATAAGGCATCACCTTATATATAAAGATAAGATATTCTCCCTCTGCCTGAGGCAGGTTAGAGATGGAAGGGAACCAAAGCATCCTTGAGGCCTGTCTAAAATACCCAGTGGAGCAGCTCCCTGTGGCTCAGGCAGAAGGTCTGG